AGCAAATCCTCACGTTTGAGAAGCTGCAACCTCAGAGCATTTGGCTATTTTAACCTGATAAATGACCTCATTGATTAATGATATTATTTAAAATGAATTAACAAATTAGTCACAATTTCCTGTAGACTAATCAATGCAGCATGCGAAAGGATTTTTTAAAACTAATTATTTTGAGTTATTATCAGCTGAAAAACTTCTATTGCCCATGAGTCCAACTCTTGAGTAATGTATGAAAATGTACCTTCAGTTAATATTGGTAAAAAAAGACTGATTGGGCCTTTAAAAAGAAAGCAGAAAGGGTATATATTTTTTATGATGCCTTATCATCCTTAATTGCTTGACCATTTGGAAATCAATAAATAAACTCTTGAAAATACTCTTGGAACAAAAGAAGCAACGTTACATCAGTTGAATATCCGGTAGTTTAAATTCTCAATTCACAGACAATATTTATTCGTAGGATGAATTCGTTGCTTCTTTTTGGTATTTTCAGGGGATTTGTTGATAGAAATAAAAAGACAGAATATCATCGGACGTGTCTTTTAAATAAATAATGTACAATTACCCAGAATTCTCTTGGTTTCCAGTCTCATACTGTCTGTCTCCTCTAAGGTCGAGCTGGGAGCTGCCTCAGCTACGAGAAGGTCTGGTGAGGGCCATTAGTGACTCAGACGGTGTGAGCTACCCCTGGTATGGAAACACAACAGAGACTGTCACCATAGTGGGCCCCACCTCCAAGCCATCCCGCTTCATTGTTAGCATGAATGACAATTTTTACCCCAGCGTCACCTGGGCTGTGCCGGTCAGTGAATCCAACACCCCCTTACTCACTAACATCAAAAGGGACCAGAGCTTCACCACCTGGCTGGTGGCGCTCAACACCATGTCCAGGGAAAAGATCCTGCTCCACACCATCAAGTGGAGGATGAGGGTCGACATCGTGGTGGATCCGTCCCTGCCTCTGGGCTCCAGGGCCCGACTGGTGGGCCGGGTGCACCAGGACCAGCCGCGGGTGCTGACCCGCATGGAGCCCATCCCTCCTAACGCCATGGGGAGGCCCAATGCCAATGACGCCCAGGTTCTGATGTGGAGGCCCAGGAGAGGGCCTCCGCTCGTCGTCATACCTCCCAAATAGTGCGTTGAGAGCATCTGATTGGCCGTTTGTTACATCATATCAGAGCGGGCCACTTCTGCAGTGAGACGGCTAAAAAGATTATCTCATGAAAACAAAATTAAGATCTATAAGCAGGCTGAGACTTGACTGTCAATGGCACAAATCAGAATTGCAGTCTTTTTGCGTGTAAAATCTTGAGGGGACAACTGCCTTAATTCCCCACCGCTGCCTTTGACGATCCAGAAAGTATGTTGGTTTCTATTTCTGGTGCTGTTGAGCTGTTGGGTCTCCAGGCCTTCATGCCAGCCCAGCACAACTGAGCAACGCTATCTCTGAAAATCCGCCATTAGTGCTGGGATATAACGCAAACCTGTACTGTAGCTACTCAGGCCCAGAAAGAAATGATCAAGCCTAAATACAGACCCTGTTTAAAAAGGTTCTTCAGCCTTAATGATGACATAATACTGGCCTGCTCTGTACTGTA